TTTGGGACAATGTTATTATTCAAGAGGCGATCCCTTTTTAGGTTATCAAACTCATTGCTGATCTAATTGTAGTGTAGACCTAAAGTACAATTAGAAGACAAGGGAACGGGCATGGTACCAAACTCATTGTTGATGGTGTCCCCTTTCTGATTGGCCATCCATTACGTAGATGAGGATGGTCGATCTGGTCGTCTTAGAATACCTCTCAAGTCGATTATGCATGATCTTTTAACTTCACGATTGTGTCATTTTAATGTCCTGATGTCGATTATGCTGCCTTTGAAAAGTTAGATTTATTACAAAAATGCCACCTTGCCTTTATATCCTTTAGATCAACTCATCGGATGGTCAAGATAAGTTTGTACTTTGTAAATTAAGCATGGTTTGTATTTGATCTCTATTATATATATATGTATATATATATATAAGTAACATTCAAAGCAATGACTTGAGGGGATCTTTTCAATGACTATGCTTTTGCAGCTTGATCTTATGAAACCATTTACTTTTTAAGCTTGATTTTAATAGCATTTATTTGAAGCTATTTTTTCTTTGGGTTATTTGAATTAACTGTTTTTCATAGAGCCTCATTACTCTCAATCATCATATCCTTAATAGTTAGTACAAAGTATTGAATAAGTAAAGTTGTAGTTAATGAATGCTACGATTTGTATGATTCCATTTCAAAAATATGTTCTCCATGTACAGAACGACTCCTCTTAGAGGTGAGAAGATTGAGAACGTTCATTTGAACAAGTTAAACATTTCACCTCACAAGCAAATGCGAAATGGCCATCTGTATTCTATATGTACTTAGTACTTGCATATACAGAAATCCATATCATTGTAATTTGAAGTTCATCTACGATTGATGTTACTTTTTAGCAATAATATTTTGGTGTTGTCACATAAACATTATTCATTGTCACTATGTAATGTGTCTTGATTTTATTTCTTTCAGATATTGAAAAGCAACCAACAAGTAAGAAGCACTATACTCTCATGTTGAAGATCAACCGATTTAGTTATAGGTGGAGCATATAGTAGTTCAGGATCTGAAATTAGTTTATTACAAATTTAGTTGACTTTGTAATGTTGGAATGTGTATGACATTCGAATTCGAATTTAAATGATGATTCTTTTTTTTTAAGAAAGAAGCGCTTTTTGATTTTTCGCATTGTCACTTTTATATTTCAAGTAATAATCTTATATTTCAGTGTGTATGTATATATAATATATAAATTTATATATCATGAACATTATGTGATACCGATGTATCATAAATTTAATTGATACTAATGTGTCAAAATATAAAGTGATGCCAATGTATCATAAATTTAGTTGATGCTAATGTGTCAAAATATATAGTGATATTATTTTATCAGAATTTTTTGTGATACATTAGTGTCAGAAATTAGTGACACTTTACCAGTGACACTAAATTTAGTGTCACAATTTCCAACCTTCTATGACACTTTTCTAGTGTCAAAAAAAACTTTCTGTGACACTAATTTAGTGTCACTATAGACCATTTTTCTAGTAGTGCGGTCTCCTTGTTGGAAACCGATTGCACGTTTCTTAATCATCATGGCCGAGGTTGTCGCTTCATAAATCGAATGATTTGGATTATGCTAGCCTTACTAATTTGGGCCATGTCAGCTTACCTTTATATTAGTATTTGAACTTTTATAATAAGTCTCAGCCTATTTATGGGATCCTATTTATTATTCATTCTCAGCCTTCTAAAAAAGTTGTTCTTTCTGTAATATGATATTTTGAGTGACAATCTAACCTTGAAAAAGGTTGTTAATCCTTGTCCTTAATCTTCAAAAGTGATTGCACGTTTCTTAATCACTTGGCTTTACCCCGAATTTATTTGGCCGAGGTTGTCGCTTCATAAATTGAAGAGTTAATTCCCTATATAAGGCAAAAAAGTGAGTCAAGAGCACGAATGAGATTACATTTTTTTTCTTCCATCTAGTAGGACTATTTTATGTGTATTTGGACAAATATGCCCTTGAGGCTTTTGAAAGGTCTTAAATAATAATAAATTCATAAAAAAAACGTAAAAAAAAATAATAAAAAACGTCCAAAATAATTAAAAAATTCGAAAAATATTTATAAAAAAACTATTTTTTTTAAATTAAAAAAAAAAACTAAAAATGCCAAAAAAAAAGCCGCCGCCTCTGCCACCCCCAGCACCACCACCTTCCATCACCGGTTGGAAATCTGCCAAAATTTGTATTAATGCCATAATAATGGCAGAATCAATGATAATTTTGGCATTATGATGAATAAAATTCCATATTCTCGGCATTTTCAGAAAACAATGGCATTTTTTACAAATAATGGAAGAATCTGTACCAATCGTATTTATCCATTTTTTATATGGATTTTTACTATTTTTATTAATTTTTCAAAAAAAAAATTCAAAAGCATAAATCTGCCAACAATTCTAGTAATGCCATAATAATGGCAGATTCAATGAGATTTTTGGCATTATGAAGAGTAATTATGCCATTTTCTTGGCATTTTCGGGAAAAAATGTTTTTTTTAATAAAAAGTGGCATAATTTTTACCGATCGAAGGTGGTGGTTCTGGGAGGCGGTGGAAAGGTTTCCATATTTTTTAAAATTTTTGCGATTTTTTACTATTTTTTAATAATTTTTTTTTAAAAAATTAAAAATATTATTTTTAGTTTTTTAATTTTAATTTTTTTTTAATTTTTTATTATTTTTGTACGATTTTTTAAAAAAGTTTACGATTTTTTACTATTTTTAAGATTTTATTATGCATTATTACATGTTAGTATGAAATAATACCCTTAGGGGCATTTTGGGTATGCTGAATTTGTTTAGTCCTATTTTGGATGGTAAAAAATGTAGTGGTCCTATTTGTGCTTTTTTAGTTATTTTTGGTCTTACTTAGAGCAATTAGTATAAATTGAAGGACTTTCACCGGTATGCAACATAATAGCCTTGACTAATTTGGGCCATGCCAAATGGCCTTTATCTTAGTATTTAAACCGTATAATCAGTCTCTTCCAATAGTGAGATTGTTTTGTAGACCCTCTGGACTCCAGTGCAAGTGTTACCCTATTTATTCATCCTTAGCCTTCTAAAATCGCTTAATCAGATTTGTAGTTATTTCGTTAACACGAAAATGTGCAAGATATAAACGATATAGTACATCATATTTGCTTAAAAGTGGAGTTCTCATGTTCTCACGTTAAACATGGTTTTCATTTGATCCAAAATCTATATAGGGAGCGGTTCTTTGTGTAATAGGATATTGAGATCTCTTTTATAAAGGCTATCTAACCTTGAAAAATGTTGGTAATCCTTGTCCCTAATCTTGAAAAAGATTGTTGGGGCAAATCGGGCGGATGTCTCAAGGTTGAGCTCGGCATTTGTGAATTGTGAGTACCAGTTTAATGTGGCCAAACTCCGTTATTTGCCAAGTGAAATGGGATTCCTATAATCTTCAATCAGTTTAATCTTCCTCTTTCTTGCTTATTTTTGTGCAAATAATTGCAAAAAATGATTTTATTTAATACTCCTTATCATATTTCAAGACTGGTACATATTTACTAGGGATGGGCAAAAATCCCGGTCCCGGTGTTCCAAACCGAAAAATCCCGATACCGTTCCGAAACTATCCCGATTCATTTAGGACGCAATCTTTTCATCCTGAACCGGTCCCGCACCGATATTAAACGGGACGGGACCGGGATAGCTATAAAATATCATGTCCCGTCTCGGTGTCCCGTTTGAAATTAAAATGTTATTTTAAATTTCTAATGCTATGTAATAGTCAAACCCAATTAAAACTTTCTAGTTCTTAGTCCCCCTAGTGTAATTTTATCTTATTTCATGTCTCTCTTAGGCTCATTTGTTTTGTTTCTTTTGATTAAAATTTGTTTACTTCTCAGTCCAATACTAATACATAATATATTATTACGTGCGGAATACTATTTATGATGGAATAAATACTACTCCAAATTATAGTGTTGTTGTAGATTTAATATTTTCCACAATAACTACTAGAAAATATATATAGTGTCTTTATAGATATGATATTTAATTTAATGTGGTATTGAAAAATTACAAGTGTACTACAAAGTATAAAAATAGTTTGCGCTACTATTCTACTAGAGAAAACACTGGGGGGCCAAAAAATTTACAAGACAAAATTAAAAATAGTTAATTAAAGGTTTTACTTAACTCTTTGGGGAAGCTAAATTTGCAAAAATAGTTACTACCTCTGCCCCCCTAAGTTTGGGACAAGAGAATGTGACACAATTATTAATAAAAATGGGTTTATGTGGTTGATATTGAATTGATAAAATAAGAATAAAGCTTGAATGATGTAGAAGCACACAAATTTTACCAAATAAGGTATGCAACAATCTTAGTGGGACGACCGAAAAGGTAAAATAGGACAATCATAGCGGGACGGAGGAAGTACATCTTTATATTGATGTTATACTTATTTTTATATCACATTTCACAAATGCATATTTTATGGGACATCCCGAACCGTCCCGGTTTTTCTCGGGTTGTTCCGGTTCCGTTTTAAATGGGACAACATTGGGATAAAGACATATCCCATACCGAACCGAACCGTTGTTATAAAACCGGGACGAGATCGGGATAAACCAAATCCCGGACCGTCCCGGACCGTGCCCACCCCTAATATTTACTGATAGATATTTCACTAGGTGTTCAACGTTTCATACTCTATCTACCAATTTTCTACCCATGATACAAAATTTGTAAGTTTCGGGCCCAACCAGTTCCCTGATTTTATATGATCCTTTCCTATATTTAGCTAACATTAAACATAATTTTCTCAATTTCAATTTCAATTTTGAATATAATCTCTTTTTTTGAAAGAGATTATAATCTCTTCGTAATTTTAAATACGGTGTATTTACATTTTTTTTTAAAATACGGTGTATTAATTCAGTGGATTTAGTCCTTTGACCAAAATTTAATCAATTTCAAACAGTCAGGGTCGCAGTGAATTTTATTCTCCATTTTTTGGACATGAGCTGATATCTAAGCAGGATCGGTTCCTGATTCGTTCTTCACCAGGGGTAGTAGGGTTTCGTTGAAATTGCACGAGCGCAATGGAAGAAGAAATTCAAAATCAACCCCAATCCGAAGTCCAACATCACGAGTTAGGGCTCGAGCTTCAATCTCTGACAAATCAATCGCTTCCGCCTAATGCCTATCCCCAAACCCCTGTTGAAAGCAGGCCACTGCTGTCTGAAGATAATGAAGGTGAGGTTGATGAAGAAGATGAGAAAGCTATGCAAATCATCTGCAATGAGCTTCAGGACTTGGTGCTGAGTCAGGCGTATCACGATCGTGAGACAAACCCGAGCTTAGAAGAATCAGGCAAACCTTGCGATGGATATGACGGTTATGGGTATGGATATGGTGATCATAATGGGTACAATATATATGGTGATGATGATATGACCGGAGATGGGGTTGGGATTCCAAATGGGGTTGACGAAGTGTCTTTTGAAGGGGACAAAGCTGGTAGTGGGTGGTTTAATTCTAGTGTTGGTCATGGTAAGAAATTTGTTTTCAACTATCCTTTGAGACCCGATGCAGAGGATTGTGCCTTCTATATGAAAACTGGCACCTGCAAATTTGGATTCCAATGCAAGTTCAATCACCCCAGACGAAAATCACAGGTCTGGTTTGGTTTAGTTTCTCCATCTATCTCTTCTTCATGTTTTTCTGTATGATGTTAGGATTATGTTGGTTTTTTTTTTGTAGTTTTGTGAAGGAAAAAGCTTCCTTGAAACCTCAATGATGTTGTTATCATTTATTGCCTGTTTTCAGTTTATGTGATATAGAGTTCTGCTATTGCTTTACTAAAAGGGTCTATATTAACCTTTTTTCCATTCTTATTTAGTGGCCTAAAGACAAGGGGATGCTAAAAGAAAATAACCCAGAAAGAACAGTGCAGACAGAATGCAAGGTTTGGTTTTTATTTCATCTTTTAATCTTTTTTACTTAACTGTCTTGGGAACATAAATGTATTATTAGTGTTATGTTAATAGTGAAAGAGTAAATATCAATCCATGTGTTTAGTACGACTGATCAAAACATGTAGCTTTTATTAGTGATTATTGTTGATGGATATTAAAAAGTGGTAGACCATACTAAAGCAGTGATGGTATATGACATTGGTTACATGTGTCTGCACTAGTACAAGTAGTTTTTTGCATGGCTGTCTCAAGGCATAATTTTGTGTGTGTGTTGTGATTTAAATAAGTCATATCGTATGGCATAGTTTGCTGCACGTTTAGTACTTCAAAACGTTAAAGAAACATCTCTTTGTTTTTCCTGTTGTGGATTGGTGTTGGCAAATCCCAGAAAGGTTTCCACATTACATATTTGCATGCACCAATTGAAAATAAGATGTGAGAGTCTTGATTGCAATTGTTTGGTCATGTGTGTAGAAGAAAGGGATGCAAATAGACCTAAATAGACGTGAATTAGAAGAGCCAGGAGTGATATGCTTCCTATTAGGTTGGGTTGGATGTGAGTATGATTTTGGAGAGCAAAGTGCAGGGAGAATCTTTTCATCTGATTTCATGTGTCGATTCATGTTAGCCGGCCATTGGGACCATGGCTTGGTTGTTGTTGTACTCTACATAGTGCATCAAAATGAAATATAATATAAATTTGAGTAATTTCAAATGCATACAAGAATACAAAATATATAAATAGTCCCCCATCCCATAAAAGAGTCCTCTTTGACCAAAGTAAAACTTTTTACTTTTAGACAAGAACATTTTTTGTAGCTCATAACTTATATTCTTGTTTTTCAAATTGGGAAAATCGATAGTAATAATCCCAACTATTGGCGGTCCGGTCATAATAATCCCAACTATGAATTATTTCAGAATAATCCCAACTTTAGGGACCTTCCGCCAATAATGGTTCGGCATGACCGCCTATAAGTAAATTCCTATAGTTTCTAAAGTGGATAAGAAGAGATATAGCAGGTAATCCCTATAAATAATCCCAACTTTTAATTTTTACTCGTAATTTCTATTTAAAATTCACATGTTATTCTGGTCATGGACCATTATTGGTGGAGGGTCCATATAGTTGGGATTATACAAAAATAATCAATAGTTGAGATTATTGTTAGCGGGCCGGCAATAGTTGAGATTATTATTTTCAATTTTTTCTTTCAAATTTCATCAAAATTGTCTTTATTTGGTCAATGTGAAATGTATGACTATATTCATTATACTTGATATTAAAATGTTGTCTAATACATGTAGCTCTATTTAGTATTGGGTTTCCAAAACAAAATGGGCTAAGCCTAATATAACTAGGGTTTCCACACCCCCTTAAGCTGGAGCATATAAATCATATGCACCAAGTTTGTTACAAATATACTCCACTCTAGGACCTCTAAGGGACTTAGTTAAAAAATTTGCAAGTTAATCAGTTGTGCTGACATAATCTGTGAAGTTATGTCCAACCTTGATCTATTTTAGGATAAAGTGGCAATTAACTTCAACGTGTATAGTCCTCTCAAGATATACCGGATTCGATACGATGTGAATTATGGCTTGATTGTCACACAATAATTGAACTAGTTTTGTGTTTCCATATTTTAGTCTTAGAGGAGATGCTTAACCATAAAATTTCACATGTAGCAAGGGCCATTGCACGGTATTCTGCTTCAGCACTAGATCAGGAAACCACACCACTTGTTTCTTATTCTTCCAAGAAATAAATTTGCACGGATGAATATGCAATATCCCGAAGTAGACCGTCTATCTATCGTACATCCAGTCCAATCCGCATCACACTATCCCACAATGTCTCAGTGACCTCGGTTTTCAAATAGCAACCCTTGTCCTAGTGTTATCTTAATGTATCTCCAAACATAGATAAGTGCATCCCAAGGTCTGTTACATGGCTTATCAAGAAAATTACTAAGAACACTGACCACAAATGAAATATCTGGTCTCGTGATGGTAAAATAATTTAGTTTGCCAATGAGCATTCTATATTTTCCTTATTTGGGCAAAGAGTCTCTTTAATCTGACAAGAGTTTGACGTTTGGATCCGTTGGTGTATCCACGGGTCTACACTCTAGCATACCTATTTTCTCAAGAATGTCCAAGACATATTTTCGTTTGAGAGAGATTCCGTTTTTCAATGGCAACAATGAGTCATTGACCCTTGTTGCAGTTAAAAATTTAAAAAATGTGTTTATATGGAGTAACCACTTGGATTTGTTGCTCAGGGGGAGGCAGGTCTGGTGTGCAAATTACGCCGTTCGTTATATGGCTTGAAACAATCTCCATGTGCATGGTTTAAGAGGTTTAGTGTTGTTTCTTAGATTTGGCATGGTTCGAAGTGATGTCGATCATTCTATATTCTATAGACATTTTGCAGGCAATAAATGTATTTATCTTGTTGTGTATGTTGATGACATTGTCATTATAGTTAGTGATGAACACGGAATTGCACTTCTCACTTCTCAAGCAATATCTTTTTAGCAAATTCCAAACAAAATACTTTGAAAAGTTGAAATTCTTCCTTGGCGTTGAGGTCGCATAATCAAACGAACAGATGCAACCTTTGCTATGGGGAAAAATGTTAATGTAATCTAACCCATAGATCTGAGTATACCCTTCCGCCACAAGCCGTGCTTTAAAATGATCTTACCATCGGGGTTATATATCCACAGACATCCAACAACTCATTTGCATGTGGGATAGGAGACTAAGTCTCACGTCCCACTCCGGGCGTGCCAATGCCTCATGTATGATTTTAGGAATGGAGATATGAGACATGCGTGAAATGAAAGCAAAGTAAGTGATAGAGAGGCGATGATAACTCAAAAAGTTATATATGAGATGTGCATTCAAAGTAAGTGTACCTTTTCAAAGCGCAATGGAAAAATCACCCAGAGTAGGTTGAGATGTTAGAGCTGCTGGTGATGATGCTGGATTGTTCGTAGGGGAATCAAGAAGCGGGGCCATGATAGGCTCAATGGGAAGAGGTTGAGGTTGTCGTTGGTAGACTTGTAATGGACAATTTGGGTGTACATCCAATGGGGGAAATAATAGTATTTGGATGGATGGGTCGGAGATATGAGATGAAGTCCATACATCATGGGGGTATCAACCAAAGAGAATGGGTAATAAAAGGAAGATTCAATGAAAGTGACATTAACTGAAACAAAATGTTTCTTAAGCAGAGGAGAATAACAACTATAATCCTTTTGGAGTCGTGAATATCCAAGGAAAATACATTTTACTGATCTAGCCAACATTTTATGATAACACGTGTCATATCATGAACAAAACACACACACGTAAGCACATGAGGTGGTAATGGAAATAACTCACGAGTAGGAAACAAGACAAAAGAGAGGATTTTATTATTAAGAATCGATGAAGGCATACATTTTATTAAATGACATGGAGTGACTACAAGGGACTACAAGATCTGGCCAATAGTGAGTTGGTGTATGTGAATGTAATAACAGGGTACAAGTAGTATCAACTAAATGTCGGTTCTTGCTTTCAAAAACCCCATTTTGTTGAGGTTGTGTGAACGCAAGAAAATTGGTGGAGCATACCCTGTGATGTCTTGAATTAATTAAAGGGGGCCGCAAAACGCTCTTTCATTAAAAATAACCACGTGTAACGGGAAAGTCATCCATAAAAATAAAAAATATCAAAATCTTAAAGTAGAAGTGACTCGTTAAGGACCCCATACATCTGTATGAATTAAATCAAAGGGGGACGCAACCCGTTTATTTACCCGCCTTGGAAAGGACTTGTGAGCTTGTTTTCCAAGGTGACATGACTCACACTCTAAAGATCAAATGTGTGAGAAACCTGGAACCCACCAAAACTTTGAGAGGCTAGGATGGCCCAACGATTACAACAACAACAACAACATCCAAGCCTTAATCCTAAAAGGTTTTGGGGTCGGTTAACATGAATCGATTTATGATATCGATGCCAAAAAGATAAGACAGACAAGAAGAAAAAAAGGGATAAAACGAATAAGACAAAGATAAATACATAATAGGGAAAAGGGGCAAATAAGCCCTCGAACTAATCAAAAAAGTGCAAATAAGCCCTTTTGTACGAGGTTCCGTCCGGTCATCGTCATTTGGGGAGGTTCACAGTGGAATTTTTTGATGAAAATTTTTGAGCATCTTATTCATTAAGTCTAGTTTAGTCCCACTGAATTTCAGCTAAAAATTCAACCGGGAAGACAGTCAAATGAATTTTTGAAGATTGAATTTTTGAAGATAACTGCACAGTTAAACAACGCAGTATTTTTCCGAAAATTATTTGAGTGCCTTCCCGGTTGAATTTTTAGCTGAAATTCGGTATGGCTAAACTAGACTTAATGAAGAAGATGCTCAAAAAAATTCATCAAAAAATTCCACCGAGAACCTCCCCAAATGACGATGATCGGACAGAACCTCCTACAAAAGGGCTTATTTGCACTTTTTTTATTAGTTCGAGGGCTTATTTGCCCCTTTTCCCTACATAATAAGATAACAAGAACATAAGAATATAAGAAAGATAAAAGATTAAAAGATAAAAATGCTAGAAGATAAAAATAACATAGGAACATAAAAAGACAAATAAGATAAACGATAAAAGAAAAAGAGCGAGGAAAAATAGAAAAGAGATCAATCGTCCACACGAATGTGCGCCCTCCACTTTGCCCTCTCCAAAGCCATACTCTCATCCAACTCAAGAAGATGCATATCAGTTTTGATTCCTCTAATCCAAGTCTGTTTGGGTCCTCCCCTCCCTCTCCTCTCTGTCTTTTCTCCCCACCCTTCAAGTCGTCTAACAGGTGCATCACTCGGTCTTCTACGCACATGCCCAAACCACCGCAAACGAGACTCCTGCCTCTTATGTTTTATAGGTGTTACTCCCACCTTTTGTCTGATTATCTCATTTCTCAAGCGGTCTTTTCTGGTATGGCCACACATCTAACGCAACATACGCATCTCTGCCACACTCATCTTTTGAATGTGACATTGTTTCACCGCCCAACACTCTACGTCATACATTAATGTAGGCCTAATTGCTGTTCAATAAAATTTACCTTTCACTCTAGTCGGCATACCGCGATCGCATAATCAGCAACAAAAGTTATAGAACAATTAAGAACAAGTGTAATTTTGCTAAGAGAGACAAGGTTAAAAGGGCTCTTAGGAACATATAAGATCGAATCAAATGGTAAGAATGAAAGTTGAAGTGTTTGCCCACTACTTGGGTAGTATATAAAAGAAGAAAAAGAGATAAGCTATGTCAGCTCCTGTGGGGAAGTGCTCTAAAAAGGTTAGGTTGGGTGGCTCAAGTTCCTCATATAAGAAGTATTTTTCATTTTCATGTCTCTATTATTAAAATATATCTTCCTATATAATGAGCATTGTCTGCTTAATACATTCCTTACCCATGATTTAATTCGGGTCATTTCGGTAGTGGCTAATAGCCTAATAGTGGTCATTTAATATTGTATTGCTATTATATGATTATGGCTCTTGTCTTCTTTGCTCATGTTCATTACTTTGGGAGTCTTGTGACCCTTAGTAGGGTTTTTCTGCAATTCGCCCCCCTACCTGCATTGATAATTCAACAAGCTGCAGTTTCAGTGTTGAAATGGGTAATTACTAATTAGTGCAAAAACTGTATATTGTTCATGTGTTGTGTGAATATGTAATTTGTTCTCCACATTGTTTGCATTGTTTAGAAATGTGTATGTTTTTATCTATGACAACAGGGAACCCATGAATTTCAATTTCTAAAAAATTAATTTTGTTTCCAATAGGAGAATGTAGTTATATTTGTATGACTTGAGGTATGCTACAAGATTTTCCATACTCCTTTCATACAATTTCTTAGTTCAAAGCCTAATTCATAAATCTTTTGATGCTCCCATTTTCCTTTCGATGTGAGCTGCAGTATTACCTTAGTACGGGTGGCTGCAAATATGGGAAAAACTGCAAATACAATCATAGCAGGGAAAAGTTTCAAGTGTCACTGGTTCAGGAGTTTAATTTCCTTGGCCTGCCAATGCGAACGGTACTTTGCCTCTTTCAAGTATTCTACATTTTCAAGATGAGATACAAATTTACTACTTTTAGTCTTCGTAAGTAATCGAATTTATATATATTGGTTTCTCAATTTCTGTTAGGGTTTGTTTGGATCCTTGAAAATCATTGGGAATTTATCATTGGGAAACTGTGTATGATAAATTTCGTGAATTTTATGTACATATGTTCAGATCTCTAGGCCTTTTATTCTTAGTACAATATAAATAAAATAAAATAAATAAAATGAGCTGAACAAATGTTTTATTTTCCCTCACATTTTCCTTCTTCCTATTTCTCCTATATTATCCTCCCGATTTTCTTTTCTAGTATTTTCTGAATTCCAGACAAATCCTTACCGTCTCTTTTTAGGGGCTCATTAACCAAATTCTAACGGGAGAATTCTCCTTACAATATGCAGGGAGAAAAGGAATGTCCATACTATATGCGTACTGGCTCATGCAAGTATGGATCAAACTGCAGATTTCATCATCCTGAGCCCACCATTGTGGCAGGAGATGACTCTTCTTCTTCTGGATATAACAAAGGAAGGTCTGTTTCAATGCAAGGTACCACCACTCAGTCGAACGTGAGTTCTTGGTCTCATTCGTCCAGAGCAATGCATGAGACAACATCATATGTTCCTCCTATGATATATCCCCCAACTCCAGGCATTCCTTCTCCCTCTCCAGAATGGAATAGTTATCAGGTAATCTTTTAACTTGCCTCACTGGCTTCTTTTGCTGGCAGTGATATTTACACCGCTCTAGATTTCACATGTTGCATGACATGTTGAGTAGGCCTTCTGTTAAGAATATAACATCTTTATTTTGGCCCACACATTTTAGTAATATTATTAGTTAAGATAACATTTTTTTATTCTATCATTGTTTAGTGTTAACCCTTTCAGAAAATGGGACAAAAATAGGACATCACAAAAAGGAAAGAATGTCATTATTTGGGACGATGTGATTATATTAGTGAGGCAAACCTCTTTCTTGGGATCTTTATAGCTAGGTCCAATGGTAGGATTGTAGTGCACCTGATAGGGAATTGTTTCAGTAGATATGTCCAGCCTGGCCTAGTGTAAGATAGGTACGTTGAGCATACAAATTGATTATCTATTGAGCTTGAGTTTGGTAATTGGTATATAAGTGTGAGGTCAATCATAAATCTCATCTCTTGAGAATCCTTTGGAGTAAAATTGCCCTACTATAACATGGTATTAGTGGAGCTTGGTGTGATGATAGGTTTGTCGGGTGCCTGCCTACTTGGTTTTTGGGCAGCCTGTTCGCATCTGTTTCGGCCAATTTGTCCACCCTTCTAGGTGTCCAGCTCGGCCTGGGCGTACTGAGGCATGTCGAGTATTCTACATTTCTACATCTGTTGTGTACTAGTGTTTGAGTTATTTATGTCTGAGCCTCTGAGGTAAATCCGACTTCTTGAAAATATTTTTGGATGAGTTTGGACTATTTCTGACCTGGTCTGTTTAAAATCAAATAAGTAAGCGAAGAGTAAAAGGTGAAGAGTACACGAGCAGGGCCAGTTTAACATGCCACATGCCTTTTCTTGAGCCAGCAGGCACACTGTGCTCTTTTGTTTGAAATCTTATGATGCTCAACTCAGGGTAAGGGTGTACTAGGGTTTGAGTCTAGTATTTATGTCTGAGGTAAATCCAACTTCTTCAAAATATATTTGGATGAGTGGACTATTTCTGATCTGGCCTGTTCAAAATAAAATAACCAAAAAGTAAAAGGTGAAGAGTACACGAGCAGGGCCAATTTAACATGGCACATGCATTTTCTTGAGCCAGCATGCACACCGCCGTAGAGATGGCAATTATGACTGAACCGATGGATACCCGCACTGAACCGCCCCGGTCAAAACGGTAAAAACCGCATTGACCGGGTAACAGGTACGGGGCGGGGAATACCCGTTTTGTTTTTACGGGTAATGGGGCGGTTACGGCTTTATACATGCCCGCCCCGTTACCCGAACCGTACCCGCCCCTTATATTTTTAGTTATATTTTTATTACATTTTATCTATTATTTGTCTCACAGCTATTAAAAGATGAGACTTTTCTCTTTCCATTATGTATATATAGATTATAGATGTACTAAATAAAAGTTCTTAATAGATTTTAACGGTCTTGTTTGGTTGTTATCATATTTTTTCGTGATGAATTATTTTTTAGATAAAGTATTTTAGGTCAAATTAATTTAAGTTGCTTCCTTTCTCGTCTTGTAGATATACGAAATTTTAAAGTGGGGTCTGAAGTCTAGACTCGTCTAGGCAATGCCACTTTTCGTCTTTTGAAATATTATTTTCATATAAAAAATTTAATTACTCATTTAATAAAGCGGTTACCCGCGGTTACCCGAAATTTTACCCGTTACCCGTTGGGGCGGTTATAGTTTGGATAAAAATTATCCGTTGGATAATGGGGCGGTTACGAGGCGGGGGCCGCGGGGCAATTATCCAACGGGGCGGACACGGTTATATGTAAAACCGTCCCCGAACCGCCCCATTGCCATCCCTCTCCACACTGTGCTCTTTTGTTTAAAATCTTATAGTGCTCATGTTAGGGTAAGGACGTGTTGTGTCTGCTTAAGGTTTGTGGGTTAGAAGAAACAGAAAAGATTCGTATTGTAATAAGTATTTCTTACTTGCTTTATTTGGTTGATTGAGGCACCCATCTACCAAGCATCTGAGAAGAGCCTTCCTACACCTCCTGCATTTGCCATGAGCAACTCTGTGTTAGAAAAGTTCAACCCAACTCATGTTCCACAATTTTCACAATCACCTTTGCTTGGTGAAGATTATCCAGAAAGACCTGGTCAACCTGAATGCAGTTACTTCATAAAAACTGGTGACTGTAAATATAAATCTAATTGCAAGTTTCATCATCCGAAGAATCAATTGCCCAGGATGCAAGCACTTTTTAATGACAAGGGCCTGCCTCTAAGACCTGTAAGTTTCTGGGCGCTTTCTTGGAAAATTATATTGAAGAATTGTTTTTTGATTTCTGGGATGTTCTCGTCATCATAAGCATCATCAACGCCTTAATTCCAACTACTTGGGTCTGTGGCACACGACTTGTAATTTTGTAAAAAAATTAGGTAAGAGAATAATCAAAATATAGTGACATTTCATCTCAGGTATCTCCAATGATTAGATTGAACTCTAAAACTTCCATCATCATATGTTATTTACCTGTGCTTTAAACTAAATAAGGGTTAATACCACTTTTGACCCATCAAATAAATTAGGATTTTTCCTTTCAATATTTGACTATCAATTTGGACACTTCAAAAATCCTCTTTAGTGGTTGAATTGATAGTAATGCCTAACGGAGGAAATGTCATTATGCTAAAGGGACAAGAAAGGGGTAATAGTTTCTCTTTTTTGACATTAGTGAATCCATTAATTTGTTGTTTTATCATTAAGCAGTTGTTTTACACAAGTCAATTGCTTCGTATTGAATTTATTCGCCACTTGCTTATCCTATTAAGCATCTGTGGATCCATTTAGCTGTCCTGTGCGGTTTCTTACTCCAGAATATTATATGTTTTTATGTCCGTTCTGCAATTATCAAGTGGTCTGCTCATGATAATTTTTTATGGCATTTGCCTGTTTGGATCAGTTCTGTAGATTTAACTACCAGATTATTATAGCCACTCACAAGATTAATAAGGCTTACAAAAAAATTTTTTGTCACTAAAGTTACTAGACTCACATTTTTGTCCACTATTTTATTTTGGTTATATATTTGGAATTGTTTCTACAAAAAATGCAAAAAAGAGACTTAATTAGTAACTTATGTTGGATACTCTTCTATTGCAACCTTCTATGGCATGAACAATGAGATGAAATTCGAGAACCGTTATCATCATATGTTTTTTTCTGCTTGCATATTATAGTCATGTCCCAATTATTGTGAAGTGGTCTATATATCCTACATTTATATTTAATTTCTACTCACATACTCCCTCTGTCCCGAAAAAGTTCGCCAACTTTGACTTTCACGTGGATTAATAAAGTAAAAATTGTGTGGTTGAAATTTGTGCAGAGGAAAGAGAATTAACTTTAGCCACATATTCCTTACTTTAAATGGAAATGGCAAATCTTTTTGGGACATCCAAAAAAGGAAATTTGGCAAACCTTTTCGGGACGGAGGGAGTATAAAATTTTATTGAAGTGATTATATTTGCACTCTAGACTGAAGTATGTACATTTTAAGGCCACAAGGAAATTTTCAATGCTCTTTTATATGTATCACACTACACAGTTAGGCATTTCCTCAATAGATATTTCTTGTGTTATGCAATGTAGGAACAAGCAATTTGCTCATTTTATAGTCGATATGGAATTTGCAAGTTTGGACCGGGTTGTAGATTCGACCATACCGATCATTACAGCCACCCGTCTTCTGCATGGTCAGATTTTGATCAGCCTCAATTTGGTAGGTCTGAGGCTGTGGATGGGGATAGGGTGGGAGTGAGGAAAGGAAATGGAAGCGGATCTTTAGTAAAACAGTCTGTGTAAGTTTCAGTAGTTTCCGCCCACATGCTGTGTGTGTGATGATCTACTTTGACTTACAGGAGTGTTTTTACTTGAAACACCAAGTGCCGGGGTATCCTCGTGAAATTTCAGCACACACCATCTTCAAGATGCCTAAGCCAGGAATATGATTTTGTAAATTACACAGCACTGTTGTGTTGCGGTGGTAGATATTTCACGTCATTCGTAGGAAGTTGCTACTCACAATGGCTTTTAATTTATTTATTTATTTATGTGCTTACAAATATTTTCAAGTATCCTTGAATTTTGCCATTTTGGTATTGCTGCTTAGCATTCCGTCATTCATGTCCCAGTCCTACTCTCCTGAACCATACGAATTATCAGGTTGTCTTTGATAGATCCTTTCTAAACCAACGACACTGGTGGGAGGTCTCCTGATTTAGTCTTATCTTTTGTAATAAAATATGAGGCAACACCAAAAATCTATTTAGCATAGCTCATTTTCCACATTACTTTCAAGCACAGCTTCCACGCCTGGTTAGTTCTCTGTATTGAATAATTTGAGGAGTGAACCAGAACTGGTACCCACCTGCAGCCTCTGCAGACTGCAGGGGCGGTTCCAAGTGTTTTTGTTCAGTGTGACCCCAATTCAAAAAAACATAATCAATAAATAAAAACATTGCCAGTGATATATTCATGTGCCTCCTTCAAAATGGACCAGCTATGGTTTTGAACTTTTGACCAGGATGGTTAGAATTGTTTTTTAAACTATGCTACAAAACAAGACCGGAGCTCATTTTGCAATTGGACAGATGCTTTTTTGGGGCCTGAACCAGTGCTGATACAAAATTTCTGGTCCCGATTCCATATAGGAAGGAGAGCTGGAGAGATCGGCAATGACTGGTCTGTAATCTGAGTTAGTTCTGCATTTGGACTTTTATGCACGAAATTTAAAATGCTTGGATTATGAACAATTGGAGGGAAACTTTCCTTTAGCAATTAATGCAGTTTAAATCTTTTTTCCGGAATTCCAGATGATGGAGGGTGAATGCTAGGCCTAGGAGGGATTGAGGGTGAAGACCTCAAAGTTGACTTTTTTATCCCATGAATGCAATTAGCATAAGACAGATTTAGAGCCGGTTTGACAATACCTAAATTGGTTGTGTTGGTCGATTCTGTTGAAATTTATGATGTTTGACTGAAGTTGTTGGATTGGTTGATTCTGCTAATTTATGAAAAAATAGTTAAAATGATCTTCTGCAGTAACTTCAGCCAAAACAATCAAAAAAGTAACTGCAACCTTATTTTTCTTATTACTATCATATTACACAACTCTGTGCGCGAAATCAAAAGTTACGTGCTTGATGAAAAAGTTGATTGATAAGCCGCAAAATGGGGTCACCAAATAGGCTCTTAAACTTCCTTCCGGATTTTGAGGACGTACGTACGTACTGATTTGAACTTGTTGAGAAAGCATGTGTGTAAAACAATTCCTTAATTGGAACACGTTCTCATAACAAGCTCTAACCCTGCTCTATGCATTGTGTTTTTATCGGATATGTCCTGGGCTACAAAGGCTATCGTTGTCTCTCCCCTTCTACTGGTCGCGTCTATGTTAGTAGGGATGTTATATTTCATGAAAACATTTTTCCATATCCCATCTTGGCTCAGAAACCCATTATTCCAGCACCTTCGTTGCCATCCTCCTGGCTATCCTCTTCCTCTCATCAATTACGACCCGAACTCCCTCCTCCTGGCCTTAATACAAGCTGCAACCCCAGTCTGCCACCTTCTCCTTCACCTAACCAATTACTTGTCCAGTACCCCCTCTAACTCAATCCCCGTCTGAATCTCCACCAGCCACACCCAGCCTTCCTTCACCAATTGGTTCTACCGCAACATTACCCAGCCCCTGCTCACAATCCCCGCCGTCGGCCAGTAGTTCTGCCGCATCAGCATCACCAACGGCCAGCAGTCTGCCCCCTGCTCCCACTAACATCCATCCCATGCGCACTCGTGCCAAGGTTGGTATTTTAAATAAAAAACAATGTTTAATTTAAGTGTTTTTGCTCCTCCCGATGATCCGACTTGTATTACACAGGCTAATAAGAGTATTGTTGGGCGGGCAGCCATGACTGATGAATTTAATGCTTTAATCGCTAATAAGGCTTGGGAATTGTGGTACCTTGGGAGTTGGGATCATACTAAAAACAATGTTCTAAATTCGTTAGGCGCTAGTCGGGCGGTCAAGCACCGCCTAGTGCCTAGGCGGACTAGGCGCCGATTAGTTGTCGACTAGGCGGCCAACTCGGTTTCAACATAATATAAAAAAAAATACTCGGCAACAAATACTACATTAAAAAAGTAAAGTTTAAAGTTTAAACATAATAAACATGTTACACACTACCTAGTTTAATAATTAATAAGTTAGGACAACTTGGTTTACAACAATTAAAAGTTTAAAACATCAATACATCACAATGAGCTAATAAGATAAAACGGGCAATGCTTTGAGCTCAAACTAATGTTTTGCAAAAGAGATATTAATTTACACAGCAAGCCCAAACTGCCGTGCAATCATCTTGATTAACATGATCCCTGCGACAGTATGATCAAAGCACCATGATCACAAGGGCATCAGTGAGTTTTCACAAGTACCAAAATCGAAAAAGAAGAGAACGTATATCAGTAAGTTAATACATCTCCAATTCTCCACACATACGATAGTATTAAATTGAAAGACTGGTGCTCACTGAGCATCCAAACTTGAACTTCTACTTTAAATTAACTTCAGCAGTTTTATTCCCTTCCTACTTTGTGCCCTCTTTTAGGGATGACAACCTCTGAATAATAAGTGACCAAATCATGTAATGCTTCTTCCAGGGATGACAATCCTTCTATGGCCTCTTTCTAGTAATAGGGCTTTAAATGTTTGATTTGGTCACTCATTAACATGACTAAAAAGTACCCCAAACTCCCAGCACATACAAATCACAGCATGAATTACATTGGGGTCTCCAAGTAAATCACACTTCATTTAAAATCTAAAAGCCATGATAAATGTCAAAAATTAATGTTAAATGGATACGGCATGTCAACATATGAAGAAGAAAGGATACTATAACTTGTTTATACTTTCTAGTCATGTCGGCCACAACTTGTTTAACTAAGGGAATGCTTCAGAGGATGCATTTTTCACTGTTCTGTACAAAACTACAACCTTTTATGTTTCAATTCCTCAACATTTGCTTAACACAATAAAACCCAGAGCTAATAGCCTAATAGGTTTCTTATTGCAGAGGCGCAGAGCTAATAGGATGTGTAATAAAATTATTTAAAAAATCTATGTATGAGGTTCAAATGATTGGGGGATGACGAGCACTTTGTCACGGTGCGTCAAAATAAATTCAATACTAACACTTATATCATGGGCGGATGGTAGTTAGGGCAGGGGTGGGCTTCAGCCCAGCCCAAAAAAAATAAAAATTGTTAGTATAGGTATATATTAAATTCTCAGCCCATCCTAGAATAATTTCCCAGCCCAGCCCACTGCCCAGCTTCTCAGACTTGCGCTTAAGCCTTAAGAGATTGGAGCTTCGCGTAAGACTAATAGGCATTAGCGACGAAGAAGAAAGAACGTTGAGGGAGCACTGGAGCAGACTGCAGACGGAGCTTGGATCTGCGACGCGGAAGAAGTGAACGACTCCAGTCTCCAGCCGCGCCGCCGACGTCGTCTGCCGACTCCGGCAGTCCGCCTCTGCGCGGCGACTGCGCGTCTGCCTCCCTCCAGGCTCCAGGATTCCAGGTAAACTCAAAAAACAATTTCTTTTTTAGATTTTTAATTTATTGTTTTAATTGATTTGGTGTTAGATTGTAATTTCACTGATTTGTGAATGTGTCAATGTTTATACGGTTATACAGGCCAGAGCAGAGGGAGTCTAGCGAACATCAGTCAATAATTGGAGAATGCTTTATTTATTATATAATTTGATGATTCTGTGATAAAATAGTACATAATATGATTTATTTACTATGCAATTGAAGGTTAGAGAATGATTTATTTACTATGCAATTTGATGATTAGTACATAATAAAATAGTGTTTATTCTGTGATATTCTGTGATTTATGAATGATTGGAGAATGATTTATTTAATATGCAATTGAAGGTTAGAGAATGATTTATTAATTGTGTGGACATGTAGAAACTAGAAAGAATTAAAATTTTCAATTGAATTTTGAAATTGAGATTACTTATTAATCTATGTACAACGATTTTTTCTCTTAAAAGTTTTATAAATTTATAGAAGTATTTAGATTCATATCAATATTGAAAATGCTTTTTAGAATGGATAATGAACATATTGTCAAGAAAGGAAAATAAATTTACTATACTCGATAGATTTTAAAATTGAGTACGAAATTGAGCTTGATTTTGACTCGATAAATTTTAACGCTTGATAAATATGCTCGAATGTAGAAGTTTAGACTATACTCGTTAATAGATTCATGTTCGAATTATTCAATAAATACCAAATCTTTATTAATCGTTAATATATTTATAAAATAGCATTATAACATTAAGATTTTAAGAAATTTATTCCTATAATTTATTAAAAAAATTATAACATCACTATGTTCGAACTTGGTTTGAATAACTATTCAAACTCAAACCTAGTCCGTGTTCGAGTTTGAATCTTGTTAACTCGGGTCTTTAAATTAGATTCAAAATCAAGCTCGAAATCTAGTATAAAATTCCAAAAAAGCTTGATTCGATAACAGCTCTGAGCAAAACTTTGTATATATGAAAACTATTTTTTACTGCTTAGCCCACCCCACCTCTCAATCCTGGATCCGCCCCTGACTTATACGTAGTATAGCGTAGTAGAGTTCGTATCCACAGGAAAAGGAATAATTCTCTTTTTATAAAACTAGTAAATAAAAGGGGGGTTTAGGGTTGAATGATTTAACTTAATTAAACACAAAGATGAACAAGTTATATGTGATTTAATTCAAAGATAAAAAGGACTTGGCATTGCTACTTTCCACATGTTGATATATTTTAGTCGATCATTGTTATATCTATAACTTATCCCCTCTCGAATACTCAATCGGGGAGTACATCCAATTCATCGAGGGTAGTTATTAACAACGACCGTTCATTAATAACCCTTACTATTAGTCAAGTATAGAACACCGTCATATACCGACTTGATAGTAGCATTTAATCTCTTAACTCGTTGATGAAATCAATTGAGATTGATAACCTCAACACAACGGTTTCGGTTTAACCAACAAAATTAATCCCTCTTAAGTTTATTAACCACGACCGTGCATTAATAAACCAAAGTTACTTACTTGTGAAACCATCAACGATTAACAAGCGTATTCGTCGATCGATTCTAGTAATAATTAATAAATGAAACAAAACTAGTTGATCCTTTTAGTAATGTTCAAAATATTAATATGAAATATGAATAGGAATTAATTAATATTCAAGGAAGAATATTAAAGATGATAAATCCTACTATAACTAATGTCAAGATGTTAACTAATTGTCATCTTAACAACACTCCCCAACATTGATATATAGAGGAAGAAAATAAATACTACTATAACTAATGTCGAGATGCTAACTAATTGTCATCTTAGCAACACTCCCCAACATTAATATATAGATAGATTAAAAGAAGAATTAATATTCAAGGGAAGAAGTTAAGAAAATAACTCACAACATTAATAATCAACAAGCTTCAAGAGCAACACCAAGAAATGGAAGTTTAGCTCCTCATTTGGAGACTAAACATGCTATAAAAATATAAAAGAAATACTATTCTAAGTTGAGCTTAAGAGTATGGAAGAAGGAGTGTTTTTAATGTGAAGGAAAGGGGGTGTATTTATAGCAAAATGGAGGTGACAGGGTTCTGTACTCGATCCAGTATTGGGGATACTGGACCGAGTAAGAGAGGAACTTTCCAGGAAATTGTGAAAAATAGGCATACTCGACCGAGTATTGCCAATACTCAACCGAGTATGACAAGATTTTCATCAAATATTCAGCCACGTTCTTTTGCTCCCAGATTTGATTTTGATCAGCGTATCTGAGCAATACTCGACCAAGTATTGGCAATACTCGACCGAGTATTGAACAAAAATCAAAATCTTCATTTGATCTTCTCCCTTTTGCACATTCTTTGGTCTTTAGGATCCATCCTTTGATTCTTGGGATGATTTTGACATGTCCTAAGCTCAGAATAATCCTAATCTAAATAAATTACAAATAATTAATGAAAATAAAGTATTACACCAAAAGCGTGTAATTTCCACAA